TAAATCAGTTAATGTAAATTCTCTTTGTTCTACTTTTCTAAAATTACTTTGGATATTATATATTGTTTGTATTTCTACATTAATTTTAGAATTAGCTTACCAATTTCTGTATAAACACACACTGGAATGTTAATTGGTATTGTGTTAGATCTATAGATAAGTTTGGAGAGATTGATATCTTAACACATTGAATCTTCTAATCCATGAATATGGTATATCTCTATTATGTCTTCTTTATTTTCTTTTAGCAATGTTTTATAGTTTTCAGAGTATAGGTCTTGCACAAATTTTGTTAAATTATCCCTAAATATTTCATATTTTTGATGCTACTATAAAAGGAATTGTTCTTTATATTTCGTTTTCTAATTGTTTATTGCTAGTATATAGAAATACTATGGGTTTTTATGTATTGACATTGTATCTTGTAACATTGCTAAATTCACTTATTGATTTTAGTAACTCTCTTTAAATTCTTAGTACATTCTCTGTACATTATTATGTCATCTGCAAACACAGTTTTACTAGATTTAATTCTTCCTTTCCAACTTGAAGACCTTCTTATTTTCTTGCCTCATTTCACTGGTCAGGACCTCCAGTGTGATGGTGAATATAGGTAGTGACAAGAGACAAATCTGCATGACCCTGGAGGCCTGTTTCCTCCCTCCTGTTGGTAGCTTAACAGAGAGCTGAGTCAGCTGAACTGAGCCAGCCTGTGGAGGGACAGCAAGTCCTTAAGCTGATGTTAGCGTTCCTGGCCTGCAGGTTCTTTTTAGGGCCCTCGGTATGTAGACCTTGGCCTTGGAAATGCATACTCCTTACCATTGTTCCTGGACCCAGCTATTCCTTGATAAATTCCTTGTTACTTAAGGAAACTAGGGGTTCCCTTCCCTCTCTAAAGCTAACATATGGATATGTAACAGTGTGTTGGTGTGTGTGTGGGGTGCTCATTCTTGCTCTTGGAGGAGTTTCAAGAGAACATCCAGCTTGCCAGCCAACAGAGGCTTCTCTGTGCTTGGCCATTTTGTATACAGAAGATCTGCGCCTAACCTATGCTGTGGAATAATTAGGGTTCAGTGTACAGAGTATGGTTCCCTACTTCTCTGCTTCTAAGGTTTTCTCCAATAAACACTATTTATAGCTATACCCTCTGGTATTAGTGGTCTGTGTCCATGACACCCTTACACAACAAGAGTTGAGAGGACACCTGCTTGCCTAGTTCCTTATCTTATGGGGAAAGCATTCAGTCTTTCATCATTGAGAAGGAAGTTTGCTGTGAGTTTTTTATGAAATTCCCTTCTCTTCATAGTTGCAGAGAGTTTTATTTTTTTATTCATGAATGAGTGTTGAATTTTGTCAAAAGCTTTTTTCTGCATCTATTGACCCCTTATTATATAATGTCTTTCTTTGTCTCTAGTAATAATTTTTTAGTTAAAGTCTATTTTTTTAATGTGGTAAAAATACACATAACATAAAATTTACCATTTTAACCATTTTAAAATGTATAATTCAGTGGCAATTAAGAACATTTTATTTTGTGCAACTGCTGCCACTCTCTAGAGCTCAGACTTTTTCGTCATCCCAAATGGAAACCCTGTGCCCATTAAGCAGTTACTTTCCATTCCCCTCCTCCATCCCCTGGCAAACACTCATTTGCTTTCTGTGTCTATGGATTTGCCTATTCTGATTTTTTAATATAAATAGGATCATACAATATGTATCCTTTTGTGTCTGGCTTCTTCACTTAATGTTTTCAAGTTTCATCCATGTTGCAGCATGCATCAGTACTTCATTCCTTTTTATGGCTGATTAATATTCCACTGCATAGATATATCACATTCCATTTATCCATTCATCAGTTGACAGACATTTGAGTTGTTTCTACTTTTTGGCTATTGTGAATAGTGCTGCTATGAACACTCATGTACTAATTTTTGTTTGAACACCTGTTTTCAGTTCTTTTGGGTATATACATTGGAGTGGAAATATTGGGTCATATGGTACATTTTTAGTTAGTATGTAATTGCCAAACTGTTTTCCATAGTGGCTGTACTATATTACATGCCCATCAGTAATGTATAAATGTTCCAGTTCTCCATATCCCCACCAACACTTGTTATTTTCTATATTTTTAAATTTTAGCTATCCTAGTGGATGTGAAGTATTACCTTGTTGTGGTTTTGATTTGAATTTCCCTAGTGCCTAATGATGTCAAACACCTTTTCAACGCCTGTTGGCCACTTGTATATTTTCTTTGGAGAAACATCTATTAAAATTCTTTGTTCATTTTTACATTGGGTTGTTTGTCTTTTGGTTGTTGAGTAATAATAGTTTTTTATATATTCTGCATGCAAGATTCTTATCAGATAACATGATTTACAAATATATTCTCCCGTTCTGTTGGTTTTATTTTCACTCTCTTGATAGTGTACTTTGATGCACAAAAATGTTTAATTTTGATTAAGTTCAATTTATCTATTTTTCCTTTTGTTACTTATGCTTTTGGTGTCATACTGAAGAAATCATTGCCAAATCCAAGGTCATGAAGATTTAGCCCTGTGTTTCTAGCTTTTATATTCAGGTCTTTGATCCATTTTGAATTAACTGTGTACATGATGCGAGATAACGGTCAAGCTTCATTCTTTTGCATGTGGATGTCCAGTTGTCCCAACAACTTTGCTGAAGAGATTATTCTTTCCCCCTTGAATGGTCTTAGCACCCTTGTCTAAAATAAATTGACCGTAGGTGAGTGGGTTTATTTCTGGACTCTCAAGTCGTTTTCATTAGTTGAGATGTCTTTCCTTATGCCAGTATCATACTGTTTTGATTACTGTACCTCTATAGTAGGTTTCAAAATCAGGAAGTGTGAATCCTTCAGCTTTGCTCTTCTTTTTCAAGATTATTTTCACTATTTAGGTCCCCTTGTGATTTCACATGCATTTTTTCATTTCTTCAAAAAAGCCCATTGGAATTTTGATAGGCATTGAATTGAATCTGTAAATTGCTTTGGATAGTGTTGCCATCATAACAATAGTAATTTTCCCAATTCATGAATGTAGGATGTATTTCCATTTATTTGTCTTCTTTAATTATTTTCAGCAATGTTTTGTAGTTTTCATGTACAAGTCTTGCACTTCCTTGATTAAATTTATTCCCAAATATTTTATTATTTTTGATTCTACTGTAAATTGAATTTTCTTATTTTCATTTTCAGATTGTTCATTGCTAGTGTATACAAATACAACTGATTTTTGTGTTGCTCTTATATCCTGCAACTTTACTGAATTCATTTATTAACTCTAATAGATTTTTGTGTGTGTTTGTCGATTCTATAGAATTTTCTATATATAGGATCATGTCATCTGCAAATAGAGATAGTTTTACTTATTTCTTTCCAATTTGGATACCTTTTATTTCTTTTTCTTGCCTAATTACAAGTGGCTCGCTTTAGATTTAAAGATACAAATAAATTGAAAGCAAAAGGATGGAAAAAGATATTTCATATAAACAGGAAAGAAAAGAGAACTGGAGTGGCTTTACTGATATCAGAGAAATTATACTTTAACACCTAAAGTTGTTATTAGAGCCAAAGAAGAATATTATATAATGATGAAAGGGTTAATAGATGCTGAAAAAGCATTCAGCAAAATTCAGTACCCAATCATGATTTTTAAAAGAATCTCTCAGTAAACTATGAGTAGAAGGAAATTTCTTCAATTTGATAAAAGATATTTATGAAATATCATACTCAATGGTGAAAGACTGAATGGTTTCTACCCTAAGATAAGGAATAAGACAAGGATGCCTGCTTTCACCACATCTATTCAACATCATGCTGGAAGTTCTAGCCAGAGTAATTGAACAAAAATTTACCAAATACTTTAAATTGACTATTTTAACTATGTTTAAAGAGCTAAAGCAAATCATATCTAAAGAACTAAAGGAACTATGAGACTGATGTCTCACCAAATAGTCAATATTAATAAGTAGATAGCAATTATAAAAAGGAACTAAATAGAACTTCTCAAATTGAAAAAACTTAACTGAAATGAAAATTCACTAGTGGGGCTCAGTAGCAGATTGAGAAGGCAGAAGAAAGAATCAGTGGACTTGAAGATAGGTTAGTTGTTCAATGTCTGGGCTTCCTCAGGGACAGTTTCTATTCTTGCTTTTTCCTTTGTATGGTTCCTACTTCCTTTTTTATTTCATGCCTTGTAATTTTTGTTGAAAACTATACATTTAAAAACTTAGAATATGAAAACTCTGTAAATGTAATTCTCTCCTCCCAGGGTTTGTTTTTATTGATGCTTGCTGTAGTTGTTGTTTGTTTGTTTCATGACTTTTAGGAACTAATTCTATAAAGTCTGTACTCTATGTGGCCATAGTAGTCTTTTCCCCATTTATTTAGTGGTCAGCTAATGATTGGATAGAACTTAACTGGAACCAAAAAATATTTCCCAGTCTTTGCTAGAGGGCTCTGTGTACATGTTGGGGCATGCCTTCAACACCCAGCCAGGCAGTTGAAAACTGTGCCTTAGCCTTCACTTCCTGCTTTCACAGACCCTCAAGGTCAGAAAGAGCTAAAGTTAGGATTTTCTGATGATTTTCCTGAGCATGCACATACCTGCATGCAGCCCTGGGCATGCATGGGGCCTTATTCTAGGTGGGAGATGCTGATGGCTTAGATGAGGCTGTGGTGATGGAGAAGAAAAATCTAGATGATATTAAGGAGGTGGAATTAATTGATTATTAAATATACAGATAGACACATACATTATCTGAAAAGAGAAATTTTTTGTTTTAAAATTATAATAGTGAATATTTTAACCTTTTTAAAACCTGTGTGAGAGATTATCCATGTTTCTTTGTTGATTTGCTTCACTTTGAACTCTGTAATGAATCTGTATTTGACCCGAAGACAATTGGTCTATCTATTCAGGAAAGCAAATTATAAAAGGAAGTTATTTCTGAATCTTTTTATAACAAAAACTTGTCCTTCCCAGTGGATATTTTGACATATGTGGTCTGGAAGCTAAGTGGGTTACCTGCAACTCGTGTAATTGGAAGCGGCTGTAATCTAGACTCTGCACGTTTCCGTTACCTCATTGGAGAGAAGTTGGGTGTCCATCCCACAAGCTGCCATGGCTGGATCATCGGAGAGCATGGTGATTCTAGTGGTAAGTGTAAACCTATTGTTGTGGTATAATCACACTTCTTATCTCTAATCATACTTATTTTCTTTAAAGTCTGTTTTTTTCTGATAGTAATACAGCTGCACAACTTTTGATTTATTAGCACTTCCCTGGTATATCTTTTTCTAGTTCTTTACTTTCAGTCTTTTGCATCATTGATTTAGCTCCCTCTCATAAAATAGTGCATAGGACATATAAGCATTTTAAAAAATCAATGAATGTTTCTCTTATCTGGAGCACTTTCATTTAATGTGATTTTTAAGATAGCATTATTGAGATATATTTCACATACCATAAAATTCACCCATTTAAAGTGTATAATTCATTGGATTTTAGTATATGCACAGAATTGTGCAACCATCACCACAATCTAATTATAGAACATTTTCATCACCCCAAAAAGAAACTCTCACTCCTGCACTCACCCCCACCTTAGCCCCAGACAACCACTAATCTGCTTTCTGACTGCATAGATTTGTTTATTCCAGACTTTTCATATAAATAAATTATATAATATGTGATTTAAGCTATTACTTAGGCCATACCAACCTTTTTCTTTTCTGAACTTAAACATTTAATCTCTGCTACATAATTAGAACTTAATACTTCTTATAATATTGTCTAATTGTGTCATATGTGTAAATCTTCTTTCCATAATGGCAATAAACTCATTGAGAATAAGGACCATGTGTTCATTCATTCATTTATTTGTTTATTCAAAACATTTAACAAGCCCTTCTCTCTTCTTTATACCGCAAGGGTCGTAGTATAATAAATACTCTCAGTTTGACTTGGACAAGTACTTCTTGGACCAGTGCCTTAACGTGATCCTGTTGACTCGTATTATTAACTCAGCTCTTCCTCCTGAAAGTCATTACAAATAATTTTTCCAGATATGTTTTAATTTCTTATAATAATATTGTGATTTTATTTTTGTAAATCAGTATGTTCTGATTAGTGTTAATTTAAATATGTTTAATATTCTGTTTAGTGAGATTTTCGTTTATTTCTTTTCTCTTTTTCTGCTTTCTATGGATCAGTTAAATTTCCTCCACTACTTGGGATTATACGCTCATTTTGTAAGTGGTTACCTATAAATTTTAACATTCATACTTGACCTCAAAAATAATTAGTGTCTATTCTTCTTTGGGGCAATACAAAGACCTTAGAATGCTTTAAGTTTGATCACCCTCTTTCTGTCGTATGTGTAATTATTAACTGCTTTTCTGGCTTCATCCTGTTTCTATATCCCCCTGAGTAGTTACAGTTCTTATTATTGGAGTGGTCAGCACCTGTTTCTGTTTGTGTGCGTTTGCCAGTTTTCTTGCTTACCTTTATTTCCTGCATCTAACGCCTGTTTCTGGATTCAGTTTTCTTCCTCCTGTCAGTGTTGTTTGTGGGAAGTTGTTTTAGTTTCACCACACTCTCGAGTGACAGTTTAACCGGATAAAGAGATTCTAGATGGACAGTTATTCCCCCTTAGCCCTTTCGTACCTTTGAGAAGTATGGTATTAATTTGTTGGGTTTTTTCTTCCTTACTTATAATAGTTTATCTTTTCTTGTCAGTGCTTTTCTTTGTGGATTCTGTATTTGTATCTTGCTTTAAAATGCCTCCTGTACCTCACAATTATAAATAAATTCTACTACATATTTTTCTAACAGTTTATAATTTTACTTTTTGCATTTCCCTCTTTTGTTCTTTTGCAACTTATTTTTATATGTGATATAAGGTAGTAACCTAACTTTATTTTCAAAAACCACACTGAACTGAAACAACTGATGCAGTCCTGGGAAGAAGAGCTCTTCCTGAGGTCTGTTTCTTTCAGTGCCCTTATGGAGTGGGGTGAACGTTGCTGGTGTTGCCCTGAAGACTCTAGACCCTAAATTAGGGACTGATTCAGACACGGGCCAGTGGAAGAATATCCACAGACAAGTTGTTGGAAGGTAACAGTACTCATTCAATTTCTTAATGCCTCAATGATCAGTCTTGAGAACAGATTTTGCAGACAAAAAGTGTATAGTTCAGCTTTGCTTTTTGTGAGGTAAATAACTAACCTTCTGAAAAATCCCCAAATTCAGACTTAGATCATGCATAGCTTTCTTTGAGGGGCATTTTTCAAAGGGAAAATGTATTTATCGTTTCATAAGAACTCATACGTGTTTGAAGGCGACACAGCATAGTGATCATGAGCCTGGCCTTTGGAACCAGGTGCCGAGGGTTGAAATTTGGCTTCACCATTTATTAGTGATGTGATATTGGGAGGTTATTTAAAATGTCATAAGCTCAGCTTCCTCATCTTTAAAATGGGGATGATAATGGAGCCTACCTTAGAGGATTATTATGAAGACTAAATCAGTTGGTACATGTAAAATGCTTAGAACAGTACTAAGGACTTATTAAGTGTTCGACAATGACTTGATGAAAAGAAACATGAAGCTGATGCAGATGATCAGATGTTAACTAGATTCACTTATAAATGAAGTGTCTGATTCTGTATACCTCGGCCTTAAGGGCACATGTGCTTCTCCTTCATGCTTTAGCCAAGTTACATGTTAGTAGCAGTTATAGAACTTAGAAATCACTTTTGGATATTCAAAACTGGAATATTAAAGCTACAAAAGCCACAAGTCTGCTGTATGTATATTTTGTGATAACAACCTTACAAAAATATATAAGAATTAGGGCAGAGACTAAATAGACACACAATATAACAAAAAAGTCATTATTGGTCAGTTTTTACTCTCTAAATACCTTTTAGTTAAAAAAATTATTTTATTTCCTGATCATAAAAGCACAGACCCTTTAATGAGTACAGAGTTTCAGTTTGGGAAGATGAAAAAGCTCTGGAGAGGATGGTGGTAATAGTTGTACAACAGTGTTTCTGTACATAGTGCCATTGAACAGTGTGCTTAAAAATGGTTAAAATGGCAAATTTTGCCACAATTATAAAAAATAAAATTTGGAAAGTACATGGCTACCAACAGTGGTCTGAAGTTCAGACTGTCAAACTAGCAGGACATCGTAGGCCTTAGGAGAGCATCAAGTTTATCCAGCTTGGTGGAAAGGATACTGAATAGAAAACAGCTTAGAGTATTAGCATTTTCTTTGGGAGGATTGCAAATGCTCAGGTGTAGCTTCCAGGTCCCGTCACTGTGTGGGCATGCTGAGTCGAAGGGATGAGGGCAGACCACCCAGCACAGGAAAGCTGCTGCCTGTGCTTCCCAGGAGTTTTTAATATAGTTCTTGTCACATAGCCCTCAGGATCCGCATGCTTGCTCCCCATCTTCTAGCCCTGCTGCAACGCACAGATCAAGGGTTACATAATATACAGTGCTGATAACCTTGTTCTGTTATGGTTAATATTCCACATTTATCTTAATGAATTTATTATTTTCTTTTTTCCAGTTTTTTTATTTTGGTAAAATACACATAACATAAAATTTACTATCTTAACTAGTTTTAAGTGTATAGTTCAGTGGTATTAAAATCATTCATGATGTTGTGTAACCATCACCAACATCCATTTTGTAACTCTTTTCATCTTGTAAAACTGAAACTCTATATCCATGAAACAATCCCTCCTCATTTCCCCCTCTCCTGAGGCCTTGACAGCCACCATTCCACTTTCTATGATTTTGAATACACTAAGGATTTCGTCTAAGTGGAATCATACGGTATTTTTTGTGTGTGACTGGCTTGTTTCACTTAGCATAATGTTCATCCACGTTATAACATATGGCAGAGTTTCCTTCCTTTTTAAGGCTGAATAGTATTCCTTTGTATGTGTATACCACATATTGCTTATCCATTCATCTTTTGATGGACACTTGGGTTGCTTCCATGTTTTAGCAATTGTGAATAATGCTGCTATGAACACGAGTGCACAGATATCTCTTTGAGACCCTGCTTTCAATTCTTTTGGGTATATACCCAGAAGTTCAGTTGCTTGATCATATGATAATTCGGTTTTTACTTTTTGGAGAAACCACAATACTATTTTTCACAGCAGCTGTACCGTTTTACATTCCCACCAACAGTGCACAAGGGTTCCAGTTTCTCCACATCCTTGTCAAACATTTGTTATTTTCTGTTCAATAGTAGCCATCCTCATGGGTGTGAGATGGTATCTCATTGTAGTTTTGACTTGCATTTCCTTGTTGATTAGTGATGTTGAGCGTCTTGTCATGTGCTTTGTGGCCATTTGTATATGTTCTCTGGAAAAATGTCTATTGAAGTCTTTTGCCCATTTTTTAATTGAGTTGTTTGTTTTGTTGTTGAGTTTTAAGAATTCTTTCTATATTCTGGATATTAATTTCATAAAATATATATGATTTACAATTATTTTCTTTCATTCTGTGGGTTCCCTTTTTACTCTGTTGATAGTATCTTTTGATGCACAGAATTTCAAAATTTTCATGAAGTCCAATTTGTCTATTTTTTCTTTTGTTGCCTTTGGTGTTATATCCAAGAAATTCTTGCCAAATGCAATGTTGTAAAGCTTTTGCACTATGTTTTCATATAAGAATTTCATAGTTTTAGATCTTACATTTAGGGTCTTTGATCCACTTTGAGTTAATTTTTCTATATGGTGTTAGGTAAGGGTCCAACCTCATTCTTTTGCATCTGGATATCCAGCTTTCCTAGCCACCATTTGTTAAAAAGACTGTCCCTTCCCCATTCAGTGGAATGTTGAAAACCTGTTGACCATAGATATGTAGGTTTATTTCTGGGTTCTCTATTTTATTCCATTGGTCTATACATTTGTCTTCATGCTAGTACCACATTGTTTTGATTACTGTAGCTTTGTATTAAGTTTTGGAATCAGGAAGTGTGAGTCCTTCAGCTTTGTTCTTTATCAAGATTGTTTTAGCTATTTGGAGTCCCTTGAGATTTCGTGTAACTTTTAGGATGGGTTTTTCTATTTCTGCAAAAAAATATCTTTGGGATTTTGATAGGGATTGCATTGAATCCATAGACCATTTTGGCTAGTATTGACATCTTAATAATATTGTCTTCCAACCCATGAACATGGATGTGTTTCCATTTATTCATGTCTTCTTTAATTTGTTTCAGCAATGTTTTATAGTTTTCATTATACAAGTTTTTTGCCTCTTTGGTTAAGTTAATTCCTAAGCATTTTATTCTTTTTGATGCTATTGTAAACAGGATTGTTTTCTTAATTTCCTTTTCAGATCATTGTTATCATATGGAAATGCAGTTTTTTTATGTTGACTTTTTATCCTGCAACTTTGCTGACTTCATGTATTAGCTCTAACATGTTTTGTGTGTGTGTGTGTAATCTTTGGGGTTTTCTGTGGATAAGATCATGTAATCTGTAAGCACAGATGCTTTTACTTCTTCCTTTCCAATTTGGATAACTTTTATTTCTCTTTCTTGCCTAACTGCTCAGGATAGAACTTCCAATACTGTGTTGAATAGAAGTGGTAAAAGTGGGCATCCTTGCCTTGTTCTTTATTTTAAAGGAAAAGCTTTCAGTCTTTCACCATTGAGTATGATCTTGACTGTGAGATTTTCATATATGGCTTTTATTATGTTGGGGTAGTTTCCTTCTATTCACAGTTTCTTGACTGTGTTAATCACGAAAGCGTGTTGAATTTTGTCAGGTGATTTTTCTGCATCAATTGAGATGATAGTGTAGTTTTCTCCCTTTCATTCTGTTAATGTGGTGCGTTACACTGATGGATTTTGGTATGTTGATCCATCTTTGCAATCAAGGAATAAATCCCAGTTTGTCATGGTGTATAATTTTTTTAATATGCTGAATTTGGTTTGCTAGTATTTTGTTGAATATTATCTAGCCCCAGGGGCCTAATGGTTAAGTTTGGCATGCTCCACTTTGGCAGCCCAGGTTTGGTTCCTGGGCACGGACCTACACCACCCGTCTGTCAGTGGCCATGCTGTCATAGCAGCTCACATACAAAAAGAGGAAGATTGGCAGCAGATGTTAGCTCAGGGTGAATCTTCCACAGGAAAAAAAATTGCATAATGTTTAGGACTGTGCTATTTTCCTTTGAAAAATATATAGTGAATATTTGCCCATATTTCCATATATTGCTAATTTAATGATATATTCTTAGGGAAAATATGTACACATGACTTAAAATTATATAAAAGTTACATTGGCACCCTAGAAACAATTTTAGGTGGTCAATGAGATATGTATACTAACTTTCAAGGTGATCAGATTCTATTTTTGGATATTTAAGCAACAATACAAAAAATTTAAAATTAGTTTTATCTTGAGTGGCACATATGTCCTACTTTCCTGCCTTTATGATAAAAGAAGGGTGAATTAATTATTATTTAAAGTGAATAATGAAGTTTATGAGAGAATATAGAAACTTTTATTGTCTATTCATAAATAATTTCCAGAAGAAATCTCAGAAAATTTTAATAGAGTGACCTTGACATGTAGGTTGCTTCAAAATGGATGCTTGAAAAATACTATGTTTTCTCTAAGTTGGCTTCTCATGAATTTGATTTTCTAACATTTTACAACTGTAGTGCCTATGAGATTATCAAGCTGAAGGGGTACACCTCTTGGGCCATTGGACTATCTGTGACAGATCTAGTAGGATCAATTTTGAAAAATCTTCGAAGAGTGCATCCAGTTTCCACTATGGTTAAGGTAGGTTAAGTTGAATATTCATCTCTCATCTTTCCTTTAATATTTGTTGAGTCCTTACTATGTGTCAGGCCTTATACAAGATGTTGAGGCTATCATGGTGACAAAAAAGACAGGGGCCTGACCTAACATAGTTTCATGAAGGAAATGGACTTAATAGAACAATTACAAAAGTAAATACATAATAACAAATTGTGGTGAGTGCTATGATGACAAACTACCAAGTGCTGGGAGTATACAAGAAGAGACTTTAACTACCCTGGGGAGGGGGCGCGGGAGATGGTTAGGGAAGACCTCCTAAGGAAGTCTAATGTGACCTAATCTGAATAATGAGAAGGAGTTACTTTGCAAGGCTGGGCTAATATTCCAAACAGAGGGAACAAAAGCCACAGAAGCCAACTCAAACTAGCTTAGGCAAAAAAGAAAATATATTGGCTCTGTAACTGAAATGACAAGGAGGCCTGATCCAGGTGCTCAAACTGTGTCACCAGAGCTGTCTTTTCTTTCCGTTATCTTGGCTCATCTTTTCACTCTATTGGCTTCAGTCTCATGTGGACTTTTTCCATGGGGTAACAAAGAGGGCCTGCCCCAGCTGTAGGCTTAAGAGTTGTACTGTCAGGGCCCTGCCTCTCCCTTGTCCATTATTCATTTCTTGATAATTGGCCTTTCTAGGATCACAAGTCCACTCTTGTGATACTTGTTGGTTCACAGAGAGAGTTTCCAAAATAAAAAGAGAGGTCCTGTCAACAAAAAAGGGGAGGAGATGTTGGACAGGCAAAGACAACACATCCCTTACACATGGTAACTGAAGCCATGAATTTTAACGGGCTTGCCTAAAGAGAGTGTATAAAGTGAGAAGACAGATTGAGATTGAGTCTTGAGGAATTCCAATATTAAAAGTTGAGTTTATAGTGTGAGTCCACAAAGGTGACTAATAAGTGGCAGCCAGAGAATTAAAAGAAAAACCAAGAGAACATGGAATCATGGTAACCAAGAGAAAGGAGGATACTTTAAAGATGAAAGGATTGGTTTCTGTTGTTGATTTATATTGTGAAATCATATAAATTGAGGATTAAAAATGCCAGGAGGATAAACTGACAGAAGTCATTGATAACCTGAACAGGAACTGTTTACTGCATAGGAATGAAAGCCTGACTGGAGTACAGGGCTAACCTTGGCAATACTGATAATCCTTCATTGTGGGGCGCTGTCCTGTGCATTGTGGGATGTTGGCAGCATCCCTGGCCTCTACCCATTAGATGCCAATAGCATACCCCTTTCTGCTAGTTTTGACAATCAAAAATGTCTCCAGATATTGCCAAGTGTCCCTTGGGAGGCCAAATCACCTCTGGTTGAGAACCTCTGAAGTAGAAAGGAAATTAAGAAAGTGTAAACAGCTCTTTTGAGGTGTGTGGTTGGGAAGGTAAGGAGAGAGAGAACAGTAACTGGAGAGGAAAATCAGGGCAAGGCAAACTTGTTTTGTTTTGTTTTAAAGATAAGATGCTGATGGTAAAGAAGATATTGAAGATAGAAGTAATAAGCAGAGGGGATGGGATCCAGAGCATTGGTGAAGGTATTAGCCCTAGAAAGGAGAAGAGAGAGCTATCTGTTGAAATAGGAGATAACAAAGACAGGATAGGTAATGAATCATATAGATTTCTAAGTTTGGCATCCAAAGCATCTGATGCCTTCTTTTTAGTGAAAGAAGACAAAATCATCTACTGAGAGTCAGGGGAGGTATAGAAAAGTCAGATGTTTGAACAAATTTGAAATCATCTTTATAGACAGTGAAAAATAGAACTTGACCAAAAAAGGGCAGAGTTACTGTCAGGTAGATGCTTATTTGAGGTTGCTAAGCATTAATTTGTAACGTAAGTCAAAGATCAGCTTTGCTATATAGTTTTCTCTAGGGATCTGAGCACAGGAGTGGAGAAAGCAGAGAGCTGAATTCATCTGGGTTTGGGTTTTACTTGCAGGGTGTGAAAGCAAGAGAGAGAGAGATGTAGCTTTGGCTTGTATGCATGTTAAAAATGAGTTTGACTTGGTCAGGGGTCACAGACAAATTCAAGACTTTTGTCCTTAAATGTGATCTACATTCAAATGAATAAATTATAAAAAGAAAATGAGTAATAAAGAATTTAAGAAATATTTATAAAAACTGAAAATTGAAATAGGCAAGAGGTCTTAGGGTGTGGCCAAAGGGTTAAAGAATGATGAATCATGGAATCTAAGTTGGATATGGAGGAACCCATAACAAGGTCCAGAGTGGGATATTTGGGGTGGGAGGAGAAGGTCCCATGAGCTAAAGAAGTCAAGAAACTAGAAAGTAAGGGAATTGGTTGATTTATCCACATGGACAATGAAATCACCAAAGATAATGCCAGAAATTGGGACAGTGAGGGAAGATGGTAAGCCAGGTGTCAAAGTCTTTTATGAATGAGCTGGAATAACCTAGAGGTTAGTAGATGGTCATTAGAAAGGGGAACAGAGTTGAATACGATGAGCCTCAAAAAAATAGGGGGATTTTTTTTGTTTGTTTTTAAGAGAGTAGGGGATTAATGGTTTGGAAGAGACCACGAGGAGTACACAATGGGTACCACACATCCCTCCTCTTTTGAGGATGCACAGGGGCTGTGGGAGAATAGGCAGTTACCCCTAGAGGCTCCTGAGGAAAAGATAGGGAGGTGTCCACTGAGTGCTCTGAGAAGAGATTGAGTGATAGGGTGATTTCATAGCCTTTACTCATCAATGGACAAGTTATATTGTATAGGAAATACTTACACATTTGACATTAAGAGCAGAATCATTTGTGTACACTGATTCTTTTTTTCCCCAGTGACTTCATTTTTATTATTTCACATTTTCGGCAAATAAATAAAAGTGCAGAGTTTATTTCACATCAATATATTAACTGTATTTTTTGTCAGAGAATTATCTTTAACCTAGCACTTCACGGCCAGTCTAAGAGCAAATGAGAGCAAATTTTAGTGCATCCAGGGGTCATACTGCCAACCAGGCATGAGGCTTAAAGGGAAAAGGGTATGCTGAGCCGATGGCAGCAGGTCATGGTCAACACAGGGCCAGGCCAGGCCTTAGGGGTCAGGGCCCATTGTTTCCAGCCCACCCAGCAGCCCTAAATGCCATGACAGGATGGACACGCCTTCTCCAGTTCTAGTCCGAGAAGCCCCTTCTAGAAGGAGGAGAGACAGAGAAAGTAGAGGGAAACAAACTTCCAAGACACTAGCAGAAAATCAGAGGGGCTTCTTCTTCAGCCACAGTGGCCTTGTTCCTGATGCCACCCGACCCCAGCAGCTCATGTTGAAGCTCCCAAAGTTACACAGAGGTGGCAACAGACTGACCAAGGACAGGATAAGGGAAGGGAAGGTGAGTGTAACTGGAGCTGGAGGCTGGCCGGGAATGGAATTTGGGCTGATGGTCTGGTGGGACAGTGGCCTTTCCTGGCTAGGCACAGACCAAAGTGGAGTGAACGTGAGTACAGCCTGGCAGGGGGCCCTCAGGGGGAGACATGTGGCTGGTCTTATGGAGGTCATGAAGTCAAGTATAAAGTGGCTTCCAAAATGAGTGAGCTGGACTGCAGTGGAGGAGGTGGCCAGGGAGTCCCTCTGTGGGTGACTAGAGAGAAACATGAACAAGGCGTACACCCTGAGCTCCCGAGGAGAGCCCTGGAGCTGGGGAGAGGGAAGCTTGACTGAGTAGCGCCTGTGGGCTCTGAGCCTTCCCAGCCACTTCCTGCTTCAGCCTTCACTGTTCCCTTGTTAGTTCACACCAAACCCAGGCTGTTGATTCACATGCCTTCCTCAGATAAAGTGGCATCATGAAGGGCTGCATGGCATCCTTCCCCATGGCGAGAAAGATGACCTTGGTCACTCTGAAGGCCTCCTGTTCTTCATGTCATTGGACACAAGTTCCACATGGTCAGATGACTTCAGGATGCTCTTGGTTTGTTGACATTCACCCCACCGCCCCACCCCGAGTGGTTCTTTCTGATGTGCTCTTATTCTGAAGCTCTCTGGCATAGCTGCTTTTCCATATCAGGTTGCTGAATAATAATAATCTAATTTTGCCTTTTAGGGCTTATATGGAATAAAAGAAGAAATCTTTCTCAGTATCCCTTGTATCTTGGGGCGAAATGGTGTCTCAGATGTTGTGAAAGTTAACTTGAATTCTGAGGAGGAGGCCCTTTTCAGGAAGAGTGCAAGCACACTCTGGGATGTCCAAAAAGACCTGCAATTTTAAAGCCTTTTAGTGTTCTACTGTTGGCTGTAACCGAAGGCTACAGACTGTATATTTTACATTTTAAAAGTGTTATCATCTGATCTGTAAAAAATAAAAAAAAACATTGGAGACCTATGACATAACTCCAGTCTCTCAAGGCTAGAAAAAGGAAATGGTAAAGAGATTTCTTCTCTTTGTGAATCTCTTATAGCTCTGTTCTAACGATGCCCAGCCTGTGCAGATGTAAGTTGTACTTCTGAGGGGCGTCATATATGGGAGAGGTGCCTTCAGGTTTAGTGGAATATGTATAATAATCTACTGTAATATAGAACTTATGATTCTTCCCACAGAACAACAAGCACTTTTTCTAGTACTGAAGTTCCATCCTGTGCTTTCTTCCATTCGGGCAGCAGCATATGCACTTTCTATTGCTTCCTTAGCTTCCTGGGTCTATGTGTAATCTTTACTAGGTGCTTATGTTTAAGACCATGTATATCAGAAGAAAAATAGAAATATAAGTATGGTATGAGAAAGTTAGATGAAGTGTCTTCAACCCTGCAAGTATTATACTAATTCATTTAAACTGAAGTAGTTGATTTGCTGTCTCTGTTGAATGACCAGCCCCTGGGTCATTCGTTCAGTAGGCTATTACTATGTTTGCTGTGTTATGGTTGAGGTCAATATGACACACTGCTCCTCAACTATCTCACGGTGCGTGTTTAGGCTACCTCAACTAACTGATTGAGTATTGATGAATGCTTGACAGCAGTCAATTGGTACTTCCCCCTTGGTGCCCAAGGTAAGAGTGCAAGTGCTTCTTCTGATTTATATATATATAAATATATAATATATACCGTATATTAAATATATATAATATTTCCTTCATTCCACAAAGAATTTAAGGCAGCTATAGGAAATATACAATGAGACAAAAACTAAGAAATCAGGACTAAGGTAATGCATAAATTCGACTGCGACAGGACGAGTGGGAAAAATTAGAAGGCAGGCATGCAGGCCCTGAGGACTTACATGGCTCTGGTGGAGGCCACTCATTTGGTCAGAGTTCACCCTCTGCTATTGCTACTTTAATAGCTTTCACTGTGGTCGTCTACTACTGGACTTGATTCGTTTCCCATTATTTTGTCCTTTTCCCTCGTTTTCAGCTCTTCCCTTGAATGCACGAAATATGGTCATGAGTAGAGTTTAGTTAGGATGGTGGAAAGAGGAATCTTCTGTGGATTTTGCCTTTTTAAAAAAAGCTCCTCTTTGTACACCAAATTAAAACTTGCTTTTAGGAAATCCTTGCAGAGACTGAAAGGCTGCAAGTCTAGTTTCTACAGGGACTATTCTAGGAAGGAAAACTGCTCTACACCGTGTGTTCTCAACAGGGGCAATCTCGCCCCCAAAGGGGTGGAAATTGGTGCTGGGGTGGGGGTGGGGTGAAAAAAAACTTAGATATTACAAGGATTTGGCTCTCCAAAGCTCAACCCAGCTACACAAAATTTATTCCTTAATATTTAATTTGACGATGGAGGGTGGGAGGCAGCTGAATGATTGGGGGAAATGTCTAGAAAGGCTCTTGAGGGAGAGATAATGAAAAAAGTTTAAGAAACACTGCTCTACATTTTATTTAAAAATTTGTCAATGCATATTGTCGACGAAAATAATACATAACCAATCTATAAATGAAAATTTGGGTGAGTTTATTCTGAGCTTAAATCTGAGGATTATAACCTGGGAGAGTCTGTCCACAAAGGAACAGAGCACTCCAAAGAAGTGGGGGTATACAGGGTGGTTATATACCCTCAAAGAGTATGTTTCACATGTGATTGAAATGTCCCTTTTACAATAGTCAGGAGGCTGCTCTGTCAGCACAGCGACTGATGGAAAAGGCAGATAGGCCTCCTGTCTCGGTGGACCCCGCAGGGTGGCAGGTCCCTTACCTCGAGCTGGGCGGTCACAGATGAGCGCTGCAATCAGTTCCCAGCCTAAAGAAAGATGCTTAATCTTTAAGGAGATGTCAACATTGGGAGGGGGAGGGAAGTTGCACCTTTATCTCAAAATGTCTAAACAGATATACAATGCATGCTCAATGGCCACAGTCAGGCCCTTTTGGAAAAACAAAGTCAGGCTGAATTAGGTTTATACCAAATGGCTTCCTCATATACTCTAATATGTCCTATTGCTTGCCATTTTTATTTGTCAGTATTATGTATTATGATTCACAAATGAGTTAGCAAAGAGTTAACTAGGTAGAACACGGGGGAGGAGAGAAGCAGAAACTTTGCTTTTTCTCATACTAAGGCCCGAGAGGTGAATTTCGGATTCTACATTAACGACCTCACAAATAACGAGTGGAGCTTCCCTTCCACTTGTAGAAATGGTTATCAGTTAGCACGCACTGATCAAATTCGTGGGGTTTCATATCTTATTTTAAAATCTTCGCACAGAGGGTTTTGAAATTTTTATGTTTTCTACTTCAGCTCACATTGGTGGGTGATAAAAAGTAGCCCTGAGGTCCTTTTCTCCTACAGCCCTGGGGAAAAGTTCTCCAGAGTCAAAAAGCCCTTACTGGATACACCAGTCAGGTTTGCTCGGAAAGAAACTTCCCGGGCCGCCCCGGTCGCTGGGCTCGAGGACGCCGCGCTCGGCGCACAGCCGCGCACCACCTGTCTGGGCCTCGCCCTGGCCCCCGCCCCGGCCCCCGCCGGCGGGCACGCGCAGGGCCTCGGCGCTCCTGGCCTCTTGCGGTCGGGTGCGCGGCCTGCGCAGCCTCGGGAGTCGCCGGCTCTGCCCCTGGGAGGCTCACCCAGGTCTTCCGCCGTCTGGTGAGGACGGGCCGTGAGCTGGGCTGCGGGAGTCATGCGGACCAGCCTGGGAGTGCGCACCGCGGGAGCGCATTTCTTTGCCCTGGGGATGACTCTGTGTCCCCCCGAGGCAGCAGCATCCCGCTCGGGGGCGGCCGGCCCTTCATCTGTGTGCGTGCGGCCAGGAGTGCCGCGCGCCTGTCCGTCCTGGGCCCTGGGCCTGTGGACCCCCAGCTCGCAGACCTTTTCTTCAGTCCTGGAGCTGAGACCTGGGGGATGGCGAGGGGAGCAGGGGCATGGGGAGGGGAGAAGAGCCGTCCCGGCTGCAGTCTCATTTTTGGTGGAGCAGCCCGTTTTCCTTCCTTCACTCGCTCTTTGCCCCTCTTATCTGTACCCACCTTCTCCTCCTCCCCTTGGTTTGCCTTCTGGATGCTGGGCTGCTGGCCAGAAACTGCCCAGCTCCTCTGTCAGTCATCTTTGTCATCCCTGCTGTGTCTGCAGCACCTCGGTCCTCCTAGGGTCCAGGAGGTCCCTGTATGCCCCCCTTCAGTAGAGACCAATTCCAAATCTGGAAGCGGCTTTGCAGTTTTTCCTCGCTACACTAGATTTCCAAGATGGCGACTGTCAAGGGTGAACTTACTTTCACTCTGGGGAGGGCCATTCATGAGTAAGATCTCCAGGATAGCAACTGGATTGATTGGTATGGCCTGTGCAAGCAGCATCTTATTAAAAGTAAGGTTTGTGCTCTGTGCCATAGGTTAACTGAGTTTTCCTCGGTTGGAGGCAAGGCCGCCAGATATAGTTGTGATACCTAACCTGAACTGAGTTTGCTCACCCGTTGTGCAGCAAGCCCATCTCTGACACACGGTGTAGTGGAAGAAAGTAGGAATTTTATTATTGCACAGCGCTGAGCAAGAAGAGAGGGCAGCTAATGCTGAAACCCCAAACTCCTGGAAAAGCTAAAATGAAGGGTTTTTATTTGGGGTTTTGGGTAGTGGGGGGCTGGGTAGCATATGGCCTTGTTGGTCAGCAGCTTTCCCACCAGCCTGTAGCTGCTGGTGGTGAGGAGGAGGAGATAGTGAATCCAGGTGGTTGTCCTTGGCCATTTGTCTCCGTGGTGGACAGTGGATTCTGGAACCAGGGTGTAAGCAAGGAATCAGTGCTTTGGTTCCAACTCCACGCATGCTGGGTTTAATGTAGGGAAACTGATCTCAGGGCTGGTATCAGTTGTGTTGGTTGTGTGTCCGGTTCAAGGGGTGAGTGGGGGCCTTATCCAGCCCCTGCTGGCTTAACTGGGAGGGCCAGGTGCCCTTTTCTGATTGTTCCACCCAGAGGGAGGGAGCTGTTTGTGCAAGTGTTTATGATGTATTGTGTGTTAGAAGTGTCTCTGTGTGAAGGCATGTTGACGTTTCACTGTCACACGTGATAGTATGAGTACCCCTTTGCTTGACTGGGAAACTCAGCTCACAAAATAAAAACTGGAGAAATCGCCGAAAAAAGGATGCACAACCTGTCAGTTGTGGCTGGTGGCCTTCTAGTACCAGATAGTCAAAATCTTTCCTTTGAAAATCTCTCGCCCATTTCCTAGTCTCTTTGTTCCCCTTCCTTCCTTCTTCACATTAGGTTACTCTTAGTGTTTAATTTTCTTAGTATTGATGTAGCTGATGAAGTTAGCGTCCAGTTTAATGGCTAGACACAGGACTAAAACGATTCTGAACCCCTTCTAAGAAAATTACCCTGACTTGAACTCATAACGTTTTAGTAAATCATAATAAACTCTTTGAGCTATGCTTTGCTTTTATGAATGGAATGTCTATAAAGTTTTTTTAAGCTACCTTTCTTTAGCCTTTAATCCTGGCATGATTTATTGGATTTAAAGGATTGGCCCTGGATTTCATATCTAGATATGTATCTTTAAGGCATTAAGTATCCTTAAGGCATAAGAGCATCAGCTGCTGTCAGCTGCTGCTCCTGGTGATCATATAGATTCTCCATGCCTTTTTTTTTCTGCTTTTTCTCCCCAAATCCCCCCCAGTACATAGTTGTATATATTAGTTGTGGGTCCTTCTAGTTGTGGCATGTGGGACGCTGCCTCAGTGTGGCCTGATAAGTGGTGCCATGTCCACGTCTAGGATCCCAACTGGCGAAACCCTGGGCCACCGAAGTGGAGCGTGTGAACTTAACCATGGAGGCTGGCCCCTGCGTGACACGTTTTGACCTACCAACTGTAATGCCTTTATCAGCAGTGTCATTGCTGATGAAGAATACACATACATGAATACTAATACATTTGTTTTCAACAATAATGACAATAACATATGCTTTATATACATTATCTAATACACTCCTGAAAAGTAATTATTAGATCTGTTTTATAGAGGAGAAAAAAGGCACAGACTGTCTCAAGTTCATGAATAGATAAGTATACAGAAAACCTTGAAGTAGAAGATTTATTTATCATCTCTGCTTTGAAGGGTCTTTCTGGGAGGGACAGAGCTCTATCCCTAAAGAAGGATGATGGCCATAAGCTCCTAGAGCTTGAATTCTATGAAAGATGATGGCCAT